ATGCGGCCTGCCTAATAATAATATGCCGCCTCCTCTCCGACTTATGGGCTAATTCTCGTAGTTAGAATGAGGAGTAGAGATATTATTATTATTAATTTTTAAATTTAATTTCTTAGCAATAGAATATTTTATTAGCGTTAATTCACTTCCCATGTCAATAATACAATTATTGATGACTTGATTTTTTTTATTTTCGCCTTTTTTATATATTTAGTTTGTGACTTTTGATCTACATCGTTCTTTTTATTGCCTCGTTGTTTCAATTTTGTTCGACAATTACGCAGCCACACAAAAAAAGAAAAGTTGTCTGTACTTTTCATGATACATATGTTATCTGTAGTATTTTTGCCTCCCGATCACGAATCCAGTGTCAGAATTGAGCTATCACAACACAGGAATTTACTAACCTCAAAAAACAGGTCAAAAATAGCAAAAATTCATGAAAAAGTGATAGGAAAAATACAAAAAAAGTTTTTTTCTATATTCAAATGTTCAATTATATAGTTAAGACCCCACCGAACGTGAATTAGCGGTCAGAATTGATGGTTCTATTCGGATCCGTAGTCAGCGACCCCTAAAACCCCCGTATACCAAATTTGCTGCGATTCTGTCATTTTTTGAAAATTTGGTCGACCATCTTGGATCCGCCATCTTGAATTTTTCAAAATTGACCTCGGATCCGTGATCAACGACCCAGAAAATCCCCGTATACCAAATTTGGCGCGAATCTTTTATTGTTTGAAAATTCGTGATTGATTCGTGATGACCTTAATTGACCCGTTTTTTGAGGTTAGAAAAAGAACCATTTATTAGGCAATCCAACGGCCTGTCAAATTTTTAAGCAATATGGCGCTGATAGCAAACAAGTTATGTTTACATTGAAGTCAGTCCAGAAGTTTTTAGTTAAAAGCGTTTAATTCGAGATTTTTGTAAGGAGTTATTCATGTATTTTATTTAAGGAAGGTTCAACTTGTCTTTTATTGAATATGTATTACTAATGCCGGTAACGTGCATAGTAGTGGGTTGTGGAAGTCGTGGAAATCGAGACCAAGTTAGCTTTCATTGTTTATCTGACGTAGTGAATTCTAAATATTTTCCTCATTTAAATAATTTATCGAGAAAACGCGCCAAACATGGATATATAAAAGAAGAAAATTACTAGAAAATACAAGCGAAAATAGAATGGAATTATACTTTTTAAAAACCAAGAAAAATTTGTTGGCTACTATCAAGAATTTTTACAATGATATCAATACATTCAAATTCCTTAATTTAGGTATGTATTTTTTTATTATAATGCCAACGTTACATTAATTAATATTCTTATATTAGCTTCTTTAAATAATCACTCTGCATATTGATTGACAAAAACGAAGATACCTAACTACAATCCACGAAACACTCATTATACCGTCAAAGTTCAAAAAAACAAAGCCAAGCCAACAGAAAAACGCAAACCCTTAACAAAGCACACATAAGTTTATATGAATCAAACAAATGTTTGCCCTCGACGCCATATTGAATTCCGATCTTGTCACGTGGTTTGGATTGCCTAATTCTGACCGCGGATTCACGTTGGGCGGGGTCTTAACTATATAATTGAACTTTTTAATTTAGAAAAAAAAAATTTTGTTGTATTTATCATAACACTTTTTCATGAATTTTTGCTATTTTTTACCTGTTTTTTGAGGTTAGGAAATTCCTGTGATGTGATAGCTCAATTCTGACACCGGATTCGTGATCAGGAGGCAAGAATACTACAGATAACATATGTCGCATGAAAAGTACAGACAACTTTTCATTTTTTGTGTGGCTGTGTTATCAATGGTTATGTCCAAACCTGAGACAAAAGAAACACTTCTTACCCTTTAAATGTGGACATTGTGCACCTTTATGACCTATTTCATTACAACCAAAACATTTTAGTTTGTATTTTTTTTTCTTTTTCTAAGCTAACTTTAACTTTTTCTTTCTTTGGGTCATCTCGTTTATTAATCGGACTACATGTACAGGGAAAATTCATGACATACTCAGCTAATTCCGCTAAAGTAGAACAACGTGCTACCCATATATTGGCTTTTATTTGAAAATTATTTATCCTTTCTATCACACAATCAACAATTTGTTCTTGCGACAAATTTAAATGCAATTTATTAAGCAAAGACAACTTCCGGAAACAATAATAATCATTTATTCAAATCTTGACCTGCAGCTACAAGGTACGTAGTGGCTTCATAAAACAATTTACCAAATGAGCTTTTATTTGGAAACATACCTACTACGCAACATCCCTTCCTACTGCATTGCGACCACGTAAATTGCATCGTTTTTTAATCCTTCATACCATAAACGAGCCGTTTCTCTCAATTTACCCAAAGCAATATAAATTTTGGTGACATCATCCCAACGATAAATCACCGCACATTCATTCACTCTACTTAGCCAATTTTCAATATTTTGCGTTAAATTAGAGGGATCAAATTCAGGTATCAATCGGTCATCTTTGAAAACAGTCCAGTTCAAATATCTGTTTTCGTTCTTTTCTTGAGGAGAATTATTAGATTGTGTACTTACAAGTTGGCTTCTTAGTTGCGTCGACTACTGCCCTTGCCTCATTTAAAAGAGAATGTACCTAAATCAGTTGTTGGGGTACCTGACTCGCCTTCAACGACCAAACTCAAATTATTTTGCTCACTCTCTAAAGTGTGCACCACTCGGACCGGGGGCGGGGGCTCCTCGTTGCAATCTCCAGTATCAACGTTTTCATCCGTAAGCCTGCCACGTAAGTATATAGGTATTTTTATGTATATAAAAGTTTTTTACCTAAAGGAGTCTAGTGTTCCAAAATACATAAAGCTGTTAACAACTGACTTGCCAGGAATTGTATGTCTACCTCTATCAGATTGTATAAATTCACTAATTATTGATAACATATGATCAAATGTGGTTCTAGTAATCCTAAAATTTAGTTTAAATTCTTCTTCAGTAAAAGAGTCCACTATCTCTTCAATATAATTTCTAATTCTAAAAAAAAAATAATTATATAATAATTTCATCTTGCTTTTTTAAAAGTATAGAGATTAGTATGGTCTATGGTCTCATTCCCCAAAACAAGCAAAGTGTTTGACAACGTTTGCATCTGGTGAAATTGACCAATAAATATTATATGTTGTAGTATAACAACCCCGGGTTCGATCGAAAAAAAAAATAAACGTAGTTGTGGCCAGAAATATGTGATCGTCATAAGGAATATCTACGTTGTATACATCTATTTCTAATTGACCGAAAGGCGCTGGCTACTAACTTTAAAGAGGGGAGGTATGGTTTAATTTTATAAAACAAAAGCAGAGTAAATACACCTAACTTTATTATTTACGTACAACAGTCTTCAAATTAAACATATGACAAATAGAATGAACAACAAAAACATTAACAACCATTTAACATAAAATGAGAGTGCCAGGCTCACCTAGAGCTCCTGTGGGGAAAGAGCATGGCAGAGAAACCCACGATCGTTGCTCTAACTACCCAAATATAAATACAAAACAACCGCTAACAAAAGGCATAAATTAAGATCCTTTGCTAATGATAAATAAGACCTGACTTATTTAATGTCTCACTAAATGTCACCTCACTCGAATTAGACATACACACTTCCAAGTAAAACTGAAGAGGTTTGGTGTTAGTTAGCCGGCAGGGCCGGAAGGTACTGGAGTCCCATACGGGAGGCAATCCAGCTATGAGTTGAGATTTCGGAAGATCTGTTTTAGCAATTTTTTTTTTGTTTTTAATTATTCTTTTTACAGATTCATTCCTCACGGGCGAAAATGTTAGTAAATTCAACAAGGCTCTTATATGCGTATGACATAAAGTGAGCACAAGAAATGCTTTATTACTTGTTTTTCGAACAACGTAATCATGACAAAACAAGTTAAATGTGAAACAAAGGAGTTGTTATTGCAATATCTGGGCAGTCACGACAATATATACATATTTTAACATGTAATAAATGATGAGCAATCGTTAATAATAATTGTAACAATTTTACGTTAGAAAAATATACGCCCCTGAGCATAAGACAATGAAGACTAAACATATACAGAGTTATTATCATGAAACGTCTATAATCATCACAATCATAACATTACATAGAACGATTAACAACAAAGTACTTAAAGAATATTACCTGCTAATTAATACGGGTTAAACACTTTGATTTTTCACTATTACACACTGTTCTCACTTCAACTATTTAAGCTTCCTTTCAGAATTCCCCACCTAAGTGTTTGTTTTTGCGCATCCTTCTACCAACTGTCAATATTACGTCTTCATTATTATACAACGCCCACGTAACAGGTGACGTCGAAGTTGATACTATAAGTATGGTTTTGCACAATGTATAATAGCTATTTCCAAATTATTCAGGATTAATATGTAATAAGTATGGTGTGATTAGTTATAGATTATAAATAAATAGCTACATAAGTACTTCAATTTTCCCAAGTATGTGATACTCATTGTTTCAATGATATAACATATCACATAATCACATATAACATATACTCACTCATCGGTCCTCGAAATTCAAATTGTAAATCATCATCAGTATCACTGCTTGAACTATCAGTATTCAAAACCTATTTTCAGTTCAAATTTTTTTTATTTATATAATTTTTAAAAAAAGGTACTAATCCCACCAAGCAGTATTGGTCGAACCTCAATCAAATGATGCAATACCGGATGAGAATTTAAATTATTATTTAAATTTGTAACAAACACCAAGACAGAATTTTAAGTCAGAATACTAATTGTAAGTTAGATATCATCATGCCAAAAAGATCCCCGCTTGCAGTTTTTTATTTATTCTTACCGTTTTCCTGCATTGGCGACCAATCATCTGTTCTGGGTCACCCTGTATACTTATAAACATATTTCAATTGACATTACTTTCATCATGATTTTCTATGATATTTATTTTCAATTTATTGTGCTATTTTCAGGTATGGAAAAAATAAATTTCAGTGGTGGAGAACCGTTTTTGCCACTAAAAGGACGGCACTTAGGAGAAATGGTAAAATTTTGCAAAAAAATATTAAATTTACCATCTGTTTCTATTGTTTCCAATGGATCTATGGTTACAGAAAAGTGGTTTCAAGAATATGGAATGTATACTGATATAATTGCGATTTCTTGTGATTCCTTTAATGAGAATACCAACAAGGTAGATACAAATCTGTTCTAAAAATATTTAAAATAATATTTAATTGAAATTCTAGGCGATTGGAAGGTATCAAAAAAGAAAAAGCCATTTAGATCAATTATTTAAAATCCGTAGCTGGTGCAAGCAATACGATGTTTTGTTTAAAATAAATACAGTCGTAAATAGCTATAATATAGAGGAAAATATGTCTGATGAAATTAATAAGCTAAATCCAATTAGGTAAGTAAATAGGCTATAGGCATCCGCGCTCAATTTGCATAATTACATTTCTCCGGCTAAATTTAGGTTTATATATTCATTTAGATTTCTGGCATAATCGTAAGATAAATTATATTATCTTCTATATTATATGAAGAAGATTTGAAAATATTAAAAAATGAATTTTGACATTTAATGAATCTTTTAGTATGCTTATTTGAAAGTTGAGTATTATAAGAAACAACAATTCCTAATTCTAGTGATTTTTATAACGAGTTAAATGATGAAAATAATTCAACTCATGCTCAAATCGTTTGGAAAGCTTTTAAAATTTGCAATCTTCATTAATATACTCAATTATATTTAAAGACCGATGTTTTATAGCGGAAAAAGGAATTGTGCCTTAATATGTACGGGTTAGATCCCGCACATTATTATACACATTCTGAATATATTTGGAATTGTAGGTTAAAACACACAAATATTACATTTTTGCAAGACATCGACATGCTTTTTTTTAGAAGCAGCAATTCGCAGGGGAGTAAGTCATTGCTGTAGTAGATATAGTTGCAGGTTATATATTAAAATTGATTTAAGTTGTCCAAACGATCTCTATTTATGACTTACCGCTATGCCCAGAGCATATAATAGAAACCTGAACAGTCTCGATTGCGGTTTGCACATAAAAAATATTCATAAAATTGTTCAGTTTAAATAAATGGCCTGGTAAAAAAAAATATGTAAATTTAAAACACATCGCTTAGAACAAGAGCAGATAATTATTTTCAAGTTAATAAGGAAGATACGGAGACAAGCTTTACATAACAAGTTCGAACATTCATAGTATCTAGTTCAATTTTTGATGAAAATTTGGTAGCTGTAGAACTTAATAAAACTGAAATATTGTTCAACAAACCTCTGTGCGCAAATGCACAATGCAAATGCAATAAATATGTCTATACTAAACATTTCCAAAACATGTGTATATGATTTCCACTACAACTTAAAAAAAATTGATGTTGAAAGTAAAAAATTACTATGTACCTACTAATACACATAGTCTAATATATGATGTACAATGTGATGATTTCTACTCAATTATCTATTCTACTTCTATCTACTCTACTATCTAATAGAGAACATCCTAACAAATTCAATGCAAGCGATTATACATTAGATCTATTCTATCGAACAAAAAAAAATAAGAAAGTCGTCGGTTTAATGTAAGATGAGAACAATGGAAACATTGTGACTGAGTTCACTGGCTTGCGATTTAAAATATACAGAAACAAATCCGATTCTAGTCCAGGAAATATAGAGTTGGACGCGACTTCTTGTTTCGGTAAGCTGAATTTATCACTATAGATGCTAAATATTATGTACAATAACATATTAGTTTCCACAGTCATAAAAATGGGGGGAAGATTGTTTACAGAGTGGTTAATTGTATAATTTTTACGTAAATTCACGTTTTTCGCTTATAATTTTTTTCCGTTCATTTCCACGAGAAAACAGTTAAGTACTTTTTTTAGTCTTCAAATGACCTACAAAACTAGCACTCGGGCGTCAAAAAATATTGATTAGATCAAAAGTTATAAACAGAAGAAGTTTATTTATGACTTTTGAATTAAACATTTATAAACTGCGTTATTATTATTTTGGCATCGCATCCTCTCATTCCTTATCACTATCAAATAACTCGCACGAAATCTGGAAACGGTGTTGAATAGTTTACAAGTTATTGGCTTATAAACAAATTAACTAATTATAAGTCTGGACGATCCCGAAGTTACAAACTGTCAAATATATTATTTTCAAGCGAATTTCCCTTATTTAACGGCTGGACTATGAATATTATCGTCATTTTCTTTGGAGTCGCTGTCGTTCGCTTCCCCACCCTTCCGCCGCGCCACAGCTCGTCGAAAATCAAGCGACCCACTGACTTTTGACAATATTTCTTATGCACTTTACATACTTCCACAAATAAAATATTTTTACCTGGGAAAGTACTCGGGTTACCGGTTATGACAGTATTTTTTTTCTGCTATCAACTTAATTTGTTTAACAATCGGCCGTCAACTTTGACAGTCTGTAACTCTTGTTTTTCAATGAATCTTGACGATTTTTTTTATTATGAATTTTTAAGGTTTTTTTTTTATCTTAAAGCTCTTTTCATAAGCTTTCCGAATATGTAATAATATATAACTATATCACTCTCGTGCGTCGATATTTCATTTTGCAACTAAGGCTAAAAAATAAAAAAAAATTCAGGTTGCAAATTTGAAATTAAAAAAAAAATGATAAATTTCAACGTATTATTATGAAATCTACCATGAAAAAAAATCAGTGCGATTGTGGAAGATGCTCGGGACTGTCCAGACTAATAATTGGTTAATTTGTTTATAAGGCCATAACTTAGAACATTTATAAAAACTGTTTTCCACTATTGAAACAGATGTGACGATAAGGACCCGCCGAAATCAAAATTCCACATCAAAAAGATCCCGTATTAACGCCTACAGTAACTATTTACCAATGAATATGCCAAGTTTTTTAGAAGATACATACCAGTATGAGCCGGCAAAAAACGGTGAAACAGATCGACAAAACAATGACGAGTTAATTAATCAGGAAGTGGAGTAAAGTCTTGTCTTCTTTCAAACACACCAAACACAAAAGCTAATTAGGAATAGGTACCTAGAGATGTACCATTCTCTCAGATTTATCTGTTAGGGGAGGTGAGGCAGACAATGGTGGTCAGTATAGAGTATAAAAATGACTTTGAAATGGCTACAAATTGAGGCTCCGATTTAGAAATCATTGGAAAAGATTTTCACTTATAATGGCACAAGTGGTTTGTATTTTACCGGGTAAATTTATATTGTTTAATGAGAAACTGTTGCCTAGCAATTAGACGGGAAAAACTGTCAACTATTAAAAACGCGACACCGAAGGTATAGAGTTTTTAAGTTGACAGTTTTTTGAGTCAAATTGCTAAAAGAAACAGTTTAGAATTTAAATAAGACAAATTCACCCGGTATCAATACAAACATCGAATAATTCGGCAGGACAATTTAATGAATAAGAAATTTAGAAACATATCAATGCAAGCTTTATTTATGAAATACTAAAAATATAGTACATTGTGTAACGAGTGGGGAAAAGTTTCCGAACGAGTTGCACATTATTTTCTATCACAAGTGCGAGTCGTTATGGGACCTATAGCATAGGGGGTTAGATGCACGGAAAGTGCTAGATAGTACAACAGCGTGCCGTTATTTTCATAGCGCAACCCTCCAGCGTAGTACCTCGTTTTTCTATCAACTTTTTAAATAAGCATACCTCTAAAATATTAAGCGTAATCCATTTGCTGTCCCATAATTTATTGTCACCGTCTTGTCTCGTTTTCGAAAATAGAGATTATACTCGATACGTACAGTTTCTTTTCCATTATTTTCAATTTCAGATACGAAATAGGTAAGTGGTTTTGCAGTAAATTGCTTCTCCTCCCCGCCGAAATGTAATATATTTTCTTTTGAAGTCCTTCCGGTTTATTTTCGTCATACTTATAATCTGGCCATTGCAAATAATTCATATTTATTAAGAGCTGATGCATTGGATTTTCTCCTTTTGGGTTGTGCTTGTAGGATTTTACGTTTAGCATTAAGTGCAGTTCATGATGAATTAAACTGAACGTCGGTGAAAGGGTTAAATACAATATTGAATTCTTTAGAATATTTCCTTTGTAGCACTTTAGCGGTGGTGTTCCAAACTGTTTTAACTACCGCTTCTTTGTAGTCTTTTCCGTCACATTTTCGCATATTAAAAGCCCAATCTTGCAATACTAGATTCAATTTCTCGATGGAAGTATCTGGCTCAAATGTATATCCTTTCGCATCGCAAAAAGTAGAATATTGTCGCCAAATTGATGATTGAGTCGCAACTGTATTAGCAGGCACACAAGTATTAACAATTTGACTAATTCGTTGTTATAGACTCATCGAATCGACTGTTAGTGTTTAATCAGAGAACACTATACCAACGAGAAGCGACAGAATAGGCGGTTCCTTTGATGTTTTGTGGTCACGCTAGAGTCTACCGATTTGACAGAAACACAATCGTTTACACTGAGAGAAGTTACACTTTTGGATAGATGTACACTGAACGAACTGCATCAGTATCAAACATTATTCATATAATACAAAGAATAACTGTGGTAAAATGTAGACAAATTATATATAATATATAAAAAAATAAAACAAGATGTTTTGCAACTAATATTTTTATTAAACAGATATATTTTTCTGCAATATTTGAAATGGTTTTTTAAAAATGACAATGCAATAACTTCTTTGGAACAATCCTCCACAATTTTTGCCTCTAGCTCTTCTTGCCCATTTCTAAGTTGAGGAAACTGTATAGGTATTCCGTTTGGCAATAAGGTTATTCTTACATTCCCTTTACCAATATATTTGGTTTCGAAATGGTGTTCACAAAGCCTATAATTCTTATAGACATCCACAATCCTAGGCAATAAATCGAGTCTATTGCAAGTTTCTATCCACACTCGAGCACTGCAAACAAAAATAAAAATTCTCCTAAAGATATTCTCTATACTTATGCAATACCATATTACAAGAAAACATACCACATTATTTTAAAAATCAAAATACTTTTTTCTGATTTACAGTTTATAGGTAGGTACTTAAAATAATAATAATAATAATTACCTTTCTAATCCTTACGTAATTTCAAAAGTTTTGATCCTTCACCAGTTTTGGATGAACAATCGCGAAAAGCACAATAATAACCATGCATTTTATTGATTTCAAGTTGATTCTAAATTGTAGATGGAAACGAAATACAATACAAATAAATCCACTATCAATTAACATTAAACAACACAACTGTCCACCGCCAAAAAACTATTACTCGTTTCTTCTATTTATATTTGGCGGTTCTGACAGCCATTGACAACTGACAACAACACAACCCAATTCGCGCATGCGCATACGAAAACT